GTGTTCAATCGTGACCCAATGCTCCTCACTCCTGACCCGCTGCCCCCAGGGCCCAGCCCCCCAGGGTGTAAGGGAGGGGTGGCTGTTTGGGGCAGGAGGAGCCCCAAGCAGCCCCTCGCAGGCTGGAACTCTGCCAGTCTGCAAGGGAAAAGCCACGGCTTCCCACATTTTTCTCCTTTAAAGAAGAATCCATGTTTAAAGTTTCTTGATCCAAGTTTGTTTGTATAACAAACTTTCGCATATTCTTGCAACCCGCTTTTGAGCCGCGACCCACGGGCTGAGAAACACTGCTCTAGAGCATGATCTAGTTGCTTTTTAATTCAGGAAGTAACTTCTAGCCCCGTTGTCCACAGTCTGGGTGACGCACTGGGCGCTGTGAGCAGCAAAGTACCACATGCCAATCTTTAGGGTTCCTGTACTATGATGGGCTTTAAAGGCTGTGATGTTCTGGTTTCTGGCAGGATGATGTTTCGTCTTTCCCTGAGGAACCACCCAACTTCAAGCCCCCGCCTCCACCAGTTCCTCAAGCACTGGATTCTTCTACAGCCCAGCAAAGAAACGCAGCGAAAGAGAAGCTCAAGCGGCCTTCCTCTGATTCTTCTCAGTCAGGCCTCTTCTTTATGGCCCCCCGAAACCCAACTCCTTCTCCCAGCCACTCTGAAAAGGATGCAGCCAGCTTGGCTTCCTCTGGGGCCACATCATCAACCGAAGATTCGTCCCTGAGCGCCATCTACGCCACCATTTCTTCTGCCACTGCCAGCTCCAGGAGGCAAATGGACGCCCGTTTGTCCTTGGTCAACCAGCACCCAATAGGTCCCTTCCCTAGAGTTCAGTCTCCAGCCAGGTTGAAGAGCCCGTCTCCCGAAAGCCGTCCTGCCAACAGCACTTCCCCTCCTCCTCCACCATCACACCCAGCCCCTCCTCCTCCAGACAAGGGCAGCCCACAGTCTGCAGCCAACCAGCACTTCATCATGGTGGAGGTGCATCGACCCAACAGCGAGCCAGATGTGAATGAAGTGAGATCCCTGCCCCAAGCCAGAGGTGGGTGCCTTCTCCTCGTGAACTGAGTGCCATGGGGCACAGCAGGGTCACTAACGGTGACGGGGCTTTGGCACTCTTAATTTGGGCAATGGCAATGAAGCTTGGCAGGTCCAGTCTTGTGTCCAGCCCCACGCTAGTCTGTTTCCCAGGAACCTCCCACCAGTCCTGGGCAAGTGACCTGCAGGCATCTCAGAGTGGGAGCTGATACCAATATTATAGTTTCATAGTTTCTAGGGTCGGAAGGGACGTGAGAAGATCTTCTAGTCCGACTCCCTGCCATGGCAGGAAAGAGTACTGGGGTCAAACGGCCCCAGCAAGGTGTACATCTAATGACCCCAGCAAGGTGTACATCTAAAATTTTAAAGAAAATATCTTTATATTTATACATTTATTTTTCAAAGAAAATATCTTTACTTTGAAAGCCTGACGGCCTGATGGGAAGGCCTAGAGCTAGATCTCCACCTTATTCAGGCAGCTGGATCAGGGGTGTTGAATTCTGGGCTGTAAGAAATGGAGATCCTTTGTTTTCCCCTCAAACATGAGAGAGTTAGAAGGGAAGGAAAGGTTGCAACCAGTTATGGAGGGAGGGCTTTGAAGGACAAGTCTTATATCTGCAGACCCATCCCTGCTCATGGACTTAGTTAATTAAATTAAGCCTCAGAAAAGGGATGAGTTTGGGCAGCATCCAGTACGCACAGGGATAGACACCGGAGTGCCAGCTCTTGGAGCCGCTCTAATTAAAGTGCTGCAGTGTCTCTTGTATCAGTGTCCCCCTGCTTCAAAATGGTGGCGGGGGTGCGTGAACTAAAGCTCATTTGATTAATCGAGTCTTGCCCAACGTGCTGTCAGAGCAGCCCCACAGCACGTCTGCAGGCAGCCCTGGAGGCTTGTGATTACGTGCTGGCTGCAGGGTGATTTCAAGTGAATGTCTGGCCTTTTCCAGTGTTATGGAGACAAGATTGAAAATTTGAAACCGAAAGGCTCAGAAACCCAGAAGCAAGTTAAACCAGCCAAAGGGTTTGTTTCACTCTCCTGATTCTGAAGCCGTTCTCCTGATGTCTGGGAGTCCCTAGCTGCTGTTGCTTTGAAGGCTCAGCATGCAGAGCGCTCTCACAGCAGGGTGTGTGTCCAACCCTACCTGCCTGCTTTCAGCTGAGTCTTTAAAGCCTCTTCTAGACAATGTTATTTGACCTTTAGTTAAAGACCAAGCTGTGTTAGGCAGTTGATTACAACCGGTCCCTTGTGGGGGGTTTTCCTGAGCTAGTTAATAAAATCTGTTTCTGATGGAATTGTAAAGGAAGCAGGAAATAACCCTGGGCCTGTTTCAGCTGATGGCAGCTGAGAGAGAGGCTTGTTCGGTACAAGGTACATTTGGAGGCCAGATTTAACGGGGTAATGTCCCTTTTAAGTGGGAGGGGGGGCAGGATGAGGGACAGGAAGAGAAAAGGAAGGAAACAAAGAGGTAAATAAAAGAGGTTATACATATCTTGGCGTACATAGGCTCATGTGGATCAACGCTGGGCTGCACTCAACTGATTCCTCCTCAGATCTCCCTTTATCTGCCTTGAGGGGCTGCAGTGTCCCCAGGATGCAGTCTGTCCCTGGACACGAGTCCAGTCCTGACGTTCTCTGTCACTTGTCCCTGATTCTTTGGGGCTGATTTGTACTGTAATTGCCCACTTCATCCCAGAGCTGTGTAAAGTGGCTTTAATGTGAATGGGAATCAGCCCAAAACTTGTCCTAGAGTTCACCCAGCAGCAGTTTACTGAGATGAAGTGAAGGGAAATGCCCAATTGCTTTCCTGTGTCCACCTTAACCATCCCCAGGCAGAGCCCCTGTGACTACCCCAAGTGTCCTTTGGGTGCCAGGCTCTGCAAACCAGCCCACTGCAGGGAGCTGCTGCCCTCATGCGGCACAAGCATCACATTGCAGCTGTCAAATTTGCCACTGGCTGAGCGATAAGCGATTTGCTTGTCCTGTTCTGTTTGGTTCTGTGTAGTGTCCCACACCTGAGCAGCTGCAGGCATTTCTAAAAGGTTTTATGGCCACAATCAGATGCAGATAAATCCCCTTCCAAACCCAAGTGAAACCTCCTGGCCCATTACACTTGTTCTGATCATTATTAGATCAGATTGGTAGATCAGGGCCCCACTATGTGGGCATTGTACATGCACACAGTAGTAAGAGGTCACAGTGTGGTAGGCAAGACAGACAAGGGGTGGAAAGAAAAGGGAAGAAGAGGTTGAGTGACATACCCAACGTCACAGAGCAGATCAGTGGCGCTGTCTTACTCAGAGTCCAGCTCTCCAAGTGCTTTAGCCTCCAGCCAGTGCTGCCTCTAGCTTGCCTGGCATCCTGGACAGCTTGGTTGAGAAGGACCTGGCTTGTCATTTCTGAGCCCCCCATTCAAGCCCAATGGCAGCTCTAACTGGAGTCACACATGGCTGTGTATTTGTCAAAAGGTCCCCCCAGTAGCTCTCTGGTTGATGGGGCTTTTGGGATGATGCAGATATGGCCCTGTTCCCTGCACAAACCAGTATCCATGCACTCTCTCCCAGTTCCCTGAGCTCCCTGAACTTCACACATGAGGTTTATGGACTTCTGGCATACCCTGGAAAGGTCTCTCTCGAGGAAGAAGAGATTTCCCCACAGAAACCCTCCCCAGATTCCATAGTGGGTCCCTTGCCTGATGAGACTTTGGGATATGGTAGGTCCTGTAGAACTACCCATGCAAGGTGGACAAGGGCCATGAAGCTGACAGTCACTTACCTCAGTATCTTGGTATGTAATTGCATGAAGAAGCACCCAGGGCACCTCGCTGGGATGTCCGTGGAGTCCTCTTCTCTATAGTTTGCCTTCAGTGAATGCTCTTGAAAATGCTCAGAGCTCTGCTTCTCTGAGGCGAAGTTAGCTCCTGTGTAAAGACATGAATGAACTAGCATGGATGGACTCCTGGATGGAGACTCTCCAGAATAGGTGACAGCAGTGCTAGGACTGTTTAGACATGATCAGGGCTTTGACTGCTCAGACAGACAGGATTGCAGGTTCCCAGAGTCAGACTGTAAGCAGAGGTGGCATATCCTTAACAGTCTGCAGGAATGGGCTAAGGGCTTCACTCAGCCCTGCCTCATAAATCATAACTATTTTGATGGTGTATGCAACACCTAGCCCTCTGCGAGGACTGAATGTCCCCCAGCCCATCCAGACAGGGCTTTCTCCCTGAGCAGTCCAATGCTGCACACAACGTACCAGCTATTTCAAACCAAGGTATTTGTACTGCAGTCATGTGTACTGGAGGGACATGGTTCCCCAGTGCCATGCTAAAGGGCCCATCAGTGGTAGCCCAGAGACGGTGAGGCCTCTGTTGAGCCCTGGCACTGCAGGGAAGATGAAGTGGGTGTGGGCATTTGAAGCCACTGTTTTATACCTAGTGAGGATTTATACCCAAAGGGTTAGTCATTTGTTTGTTGTTTGCCAATAATAGTCATGCAAATATATGCAAATTATGGCTCTGAATCAGTTTGCTTGACATGCTGGGCAAGCTGGGTAACTGCTCGGTGCACTGCCAGATGAAGGGTGAGCGATGTAAGCACAGCTCAGCAAACCAGAGGCCACTGTTTCTCACCCATGGTTCCAGCCCCGACAGTATGAAACTCCCTCCACTTTGCTTTGCTTCCCAGAAAGTGCCAAAGGAGAGTCTGAATCTGGCCCGCCTCCCTCAGAGCTTCACTGAGGTGCAGACAGAAAAGAAGCCATGAAGCAACCCCGTCTGTGCTCCAGGACATAGCAGAGCAGACCCTCTGGTTATACCTGAATGGGCTTTCAAAACTGGATCAGTGCTGTAGCTGGGCCTCAAAAGAAAACCTGGATCTATCCCCTACCCCCACCCAGGGTTGGATCCAGGTCCAGTTCTGGTCCTAAATAGGGCCAAATTTTCACAGGTGCTCAGCACCCAACGTGCATGATGCTCATAACCTGGGCCTCATCATGGACTTCTGGCTCTTCTGAAAACTTGGCCTGTCAACCCAGCTTCTCAGAAGTATTTTGGTGCCTGGCTCCCTCTGGCTCCAAAGGAAGCTACAACCCCCAAAGCCCTTGAAGATCTGGGCCCTGGTTCAGTTGATCCCTGTGCTCAACCCATACTGGGCCGCCCATGTCTTCACTTGCTCCTGAATGTATTCACAGCCTAGGACACCTCTCTAGGGCAGACCTAGAAGCTTGATGGGGGCTGGGGTTTGTTAGGGACCATCCCAGCTGCAGAGTCTTCCCACAAGTCCTCCTAGCTACCCAGAAACAAGGATTCACTTCCCTTCCTAGCTGTGCAGCCTAGGGAAGAGTCATGTGGCATCAGTGCTGCTTTGCAGACCCCTTGAGAGCTCTGCTTTCCATGCAAGAGACTCTCTGGATATGAGCCCACCACTTACCCTCTCCCCCTAGCTAACAGCCCCTGTCCTGCTGTCCCCCCAGCCTCCACACTCTCCCAGCTGTCAGACAGCGGACAGACACTCAGCGAGGACAGCGGCGTGGATATTGGTGAGGTCGAGGCCAGTGGCAAGGACAGGGGAAGGCAGCAGGTCTCTGTGAAAAGCCGAAGCCCCAAGGAGGCACCAAGGAGTGATGGGACAGCAGAAGGGACCTCTAAACCGGTAAGAGCGGGGAGGCCCAGATACCCAGTAGGGCTCTCCCAGGCAGGGTTTTTACCCCAGCCTAGTGCCGAGGAGAGGGGCAGGCTGCATGGAACGGAGCCATGTGCCACAGCTACAGGGGCTGGCACCCTCCCAGCTCTTGGGCTGCAGATGAAGGGGCTGGTGCAATGCCAGGCTCAGCCAAAAGAGGGCAAGAGTGGTCCTTCCTGCCTAAAGCAACCTGGGACATGGCAGGGTTGGTGGCCATGGGATGTTCTCCACCTAGCAGAGATGCACAGAGCACTGCGGGCCTGCAGAACATCCTCCTCCTCTGCCCATTGGGGGGGGAGCATCAGACTGACAAAGCAGGGCTGAGGATACCTGACCTCTGCAGCTGGGAGTCTCCACAGGGCTGGAGGGCTTTGTTGGCCAGGCAGAGAGCAAGCGCCCTGCTTCCTGGCCAAGACAACACGCACTCTGGCTGGGCTGGGCCAGGCAGGCCGGAGAAGACAGATGGAGGCATGGCTGAGCTCCTGCCATTACAAGCTGCCGTGTACAGGCACAGCTCTCAGCCAGGAAAGCGTTAACCTGTATGGGGTAGGGTCCCATTGGCTTATGAGGGCCCTGGCTGGGTGGGAGCTGGGCTTGGTGCTGGGCAAGGAGAAAAGGGGCCCAGCCCTGATCAGTCACATTGGCATCTCCCCTACTCCAGCCCGGCCTCCGTGAGCCCACATCGTGTCTGATTCGAGTGGCAAAGAGCGCGCCCACCTTGGGGATCGCCATCGAGGGTGGAGCCAACACCCGGCAGCCTCTGCCCCGGATAGTCACCATACAGGTAGGGCAAGCCAAGAGCAGGGATAACTCGGTGCAGACACCACCCCCATCCAAGCTCTGAGAGATCTCATAGGATGCAGAGCTAGTCTCTTCTAATAGGGATGCAACCAGAACCCACCCTCTCTGCCATCTCTGAGCAGCTGGCTGGCTAACAGCCCTCCCAGCCCATCCCATCATCATGGGGATTTGTGTCTCACATGCCTGGGTGGGGGGAGTGACGGGGGCTGTAGCTAGCAGGGACATTGCCACCCTGCCCCCCAAATGAAACAATGGGGTTGCAAACAGGGGTGTGAGTAATAGGATCTGCCATAGACAACTGGCATTTGGAAGATGACTGCACTAGAGCTGGGGAATGCCAGAACTGTGGCCCGTCTCTGTCCGGTGCTCGACTCAGGAGGGGAGTGGGACTGAGACCATGTGAACAACCTTTCGCTGCAATTTAAGAAGTAATCACAGCTGAGAATTCAGGTGGACATGAGCCGCTGAATGCAGATGGCAGCAATGTCCCATGTAGCCAGTACCCAGCATGTGCATGAACCCCTGCTGGCATAAGGCCACTTGACCAGCTCTGTTGTCCTCGCTTGCACGGATTACAGTAATGCCTGAAGAGCCCAGCTGAGATTAGAGAGCTGTTGTGCCAGGAGCTAGACACAGTGAGAGAGAGTCTGGGCCTCAAAAACCTTGGTCTAAGTAGCCAAGCCAGACAGAGCAAGGGGAACCCTCTGTCCTAAAATTTTCTAGGCAAAGGTGGCTGCATTTCAGTTCTGGGCTTAGGGGCCTCATGAAGCATGGGGGGGATGTGCAGGGGAAGACGTGCTCCAATATATGAGATCTTCCTTTTCTCTGACTCGCTGCAGCGAGGAGGCTCTGCCCATAACTGTGGGAAGCTGAAGGTGGGTCACGTGATCCTGGAGGTAAATGGCACGACACTGCATGGGAAGGAGCACCGGGAAGCTGCCCGCATCATTGCTGAGGCCTTTAAGACGAAGGAAAAGGACCACATTGACTTCCTGGTCACAGAGTTCAACATGGCACTTTAAGGGGCTCCGGCACCCCCTCCCCACCAAGCTGACCAGGCAGCAGCATGAGGGAGCCAAGTGGAGAATCGGGGTCTCGGGGGCACAGACAGGCGTGTTAGTACGTGTGCCCACATGCAACAGCACAGCACCAGACTCCCCCACAGAGCGGCACCGCGCCCCCAAGCCCCCCATCCCCACCGCCAGCACACGCATCCCCTGGGCCAAGAGCAGGGGTGCTCAGCCCAGAATGCACTGGGCCTGAGACTGATGGAGATGGCCTTTAGACCAACACAGCAGTGAGAGAAGGAGCAGGCGGGAAGGCAGAGAGGCCAACTCCGGCTGCTTGCTGCCTGCTCTGGTCCCTCTGGGCATTGAGCCTCATTGGGTCACTTTCCCAGTTTAAGCCATATTCCAGATGTCTCTCCCTGCCCGTCCTCCCCGGGGACAGGCAGTGGGGGTATCCACACCCTAAGAGCTCACCCACCTTCGGCTGTCCCAGCAGCTCTGTGAGTGCATCCACCCCCTCTTTTATTCCCCCATAGAGCTGCCTTCCCTTTGCACACAGCAAATCCCCACCTGGTAGACTGGATACAGGTTGAAGGGGGAGGGACCTATTTTTTGCCCCGCTCCCTTCCCAGCCCCTCAGCTGGGTGACCTGCAGAAATCTTAGTGCCACACATGCTGTGCAGGGAGTCCCCTGGCATCACAGTGGGGAAATATCTTTGTGGATCTTTTGGGTTGTTCACTCATGGGTCTGTCCTCTGTGGCTGGGTGGCAGGGACATGGCAGGAGCCCAGTCAAGGTGCTGAGCCCTATGCCCCACCATGTACAGACAGTAACAGATGCCTTGTAAATTGCTGGCGACATCATTGTATTTATATATATATATAAAGAGCTTGTGCTTTTAATTTTTCAATAAATCAAACAGGTTAGAAAACAGCAGAGAGCTTGTGGGTATCTCTCCTGATCATGGATGCAGGGGTGAGGGGAACAACACTATGAGCTGGCATCATTGCTCTGGACGTTCAACCAGTCTAAGTGTTTTCTTAGATTATCACAAATCAGGTAACAGGCTCTTTATCCCAGCCTGTAAGGACGTATGGAGGGAGCGGAAATCAGGTAACAGATGGTGATTCACTTGGACAGAGACAGAACGAGAGCAGCTGACGAGGAGCAAACGCTGGATGCATTCAAACACAAAATGCGGCTGTAACCCTTAAGTGAGAAAGTGACTGACTACTGGAGGAGCAGCCCAACATTACGGCGGATTCATCATTGCTGACCGTGTTAATGCTTTCCTTAACTGCCCTGCCCTAGGTTGAATGGGAAGCTGTTCAGGGAGTGCCCATGGGCTTTGCTACACAGGAGTTTAGGCTTGAGGAGCACTCTGCTCCCTTCTGGCTGCAGAACCTGGAAATGGGAGATTCCTCCCTAGCTTGCTTCTGTGGCCATACAGTTGAAGGCATGCAAAACTCAGGGGCATCCAAACCCCAAGCTGCAAGGCTTGGGCCAGCATGTAGGATGTCTTCCAAATGATTTGGAAGCGTCTGAAGCCCCAGGTTGGGTGGAGGATGTTTGCCAGTAGTATGGCCACATATGGTTCTTGAATGACTCACAGATTTGGAATTGATTTTGCTGATTTGGCTTGGAACACAAAAAAATTTCCTTAAAACTTAAAAATAAAAACCAACCCTCCCCCCACCACCCCCGACTCTAGTAGCAATTCAGGACTTGGAATCTGTGCCACATCACCCCGTCCTCACCGCAGCTTCACCTGTCAGGTAACTTGGAGTAGGCAGCCCATGGGAAGAACATGTGGAAAACCTGACCTGATGTTTGTGTACACCCACCCCCAGCATCTCCTTCGTGTGTGTGTGCATGCATGCAAAACATGCAATGTATATCACATTCAGTGCATGTGTCTGGGCGGGGGCATATGCACAGGGGACATGAAGCCACATGTGTACAGCATGCGTATACAGGTGGAGCACATACGCTGCATGCAGTGTGTGTGTGCAGGGTGTATACACTCCCCAAGCATTGATCACAGGGTCATGCATACTGCACGTGTTCCCTTCCCTGTGCTCTGCACATAGCACTCTGTGTTGTAGCCCTGTGCAGATACCAATGTCCCTTGCTGTGCCTGAGTGATGATGTGTACACAGAAGTGTAACAGGCTTATGAATGACCTGTTTCTGTTCAACTCCTGAGACCCTGTAAAGCCCACTTGGAAATGGGTTAGTTCCTGCACAAGAGAACAATGGTGCTCTCTTCTCTCAGGCCAGCAGCCCAGGCTGAAACCTAATTTCTGCCCCTAGGGACAAGACAGGGGTTAGTAATTTGAAGCTGGGGATTGCCCATCGTGAAGTGTTGAGTCAGTGCTAGTCACAGCTAGCCTGTGGGGACAAGATGATGATAGGGCAGCCTTGTATGAACCTGGGTTGGCTCAGGGACTGTGCATCTGCACTGAGGCTCTCAGACAATAGCGGGTGGCTGCAACCTGCTCTCTGTATCAGGCTGTTACCAGGCCTGGGTATAGAGGAATACTCACACGCCACTTGACTACCACCGCCCTGCCCCAGGGCACCACCTGTCCAGGGGTAGGCTGAAATTCCAGCAGGATCTGGGCCACTCAGGCTCCTTGGGGAGAAATCTTGAGCCTTCAAGGAACCAAGACATTCCCATCCGGGGCCTGCCAAAAGTTGGCCTCTTCCTTGGTTTCCTTGCTTCCATGCACTGCCCTTAGGCCCCTCCTCAGCCATATCCTCCCCTTCAGGCAGGGCAGGTGTGCTGTGGGGAGAGAGGAGATCATCACACTCTTGGGCCTTGATGGGGAGCAAAGGAAAGGAATACACCTGGCTTTGCTGGGAGTCCCACATTGGCTTGAATAGGTCTTGAGACATCGTTGGCCATGTTAGTCTGATACCTACGTGTGCCATGGTCATTGCCTAGCACTATCCCCATCCCTTTTCTATCTTTGTATTCAAATCTCTCTCCTTTCTATACACGAGTCTGTGCACATTCTTTCACAGTCTCTGATGCGGTAAGCTCCCAGCTTACAAAGCCTGGGCTATATACATATAGATATTCAGAGCCCAATACAGATAGTATATATAATTAGTCTATAATGTGCAAATCTACTTTGCCTTCTACTTAAGTAGTCCCTCCTGAGTCTGAATCTCACAGATCTTGAGAAGAGGAGTGGGAAGTTGGGCCCTCTTGTGCACTCCAGAAATGGTACATTCTCTGAGGAAACCCAGAAAAAGCGCACCAGTGCCCCTGTTGGGAGCAGAGAAGGCACTTGAGATCCCCAGGAGGAAACAGGTTGCTCCTTTAGGAAGAGCTATGAATGAAGCTGCTAGGAAGGCACAAAGCTCACAGCACCCTCAGAGATGGCAGGAGCTGCATATCACCTGGCCCGGGAATCAGAGCCAATCTGCACACTTTTTGCATCATTGTCTAGCTGTTTGGGGATCAGTGATGACCTGTTCTCAGACCAGTGTCCATATCTCCAGAACTATCCTCAGACAGGCAGACATGGTCCCTTGGGTGATGCTCTTAGCAAAGTGGCCAAGGATTAGTTGCGCAGGAGATTTCTCTTCTCCTTATTGGGTCAACAGAGGTGCTTCCCTTCAGGCTGTGCCCAAATGGGGGAAGCTTGCCTTGACACTGCCCATCCTAGACCCATTGCTTAGACTCCAGGGCAGTTAGTACAAGGGGGAACCAAACTGAGATTTAAAAACATGAGTTTGCATCACAGCCAGCTGCACAGATTCAGAGCCAGAGGATGCAGAGCCTGGAGGCCACAGCCAGAATTGCTGCCAGCCTGGAGACTGAAGCCCTTCTGAGCAGATACAACCAGGCAGTGGCAGCAAGAGCAGGTCCAACCCTGCCCTGCTGGTGGGCCACCACCTTGAGCAGAAGGGGTGAAATGGGAGTCCAGACTCCTCATCCACAACACCTCAGCCCTGGCTCAGGCAGGGACTCCAGAAACCTGTGACAACAGGGCAAAGCACTAGCTTCCAGCAACAGCCTTAGCAGCCACAGGGACAGGCAGCACCTGCTGTGGCCCCAAGACTCCTGTACTCTCCAACCTGGAGTACTCAAGACCATACTTTAAAATGCCCCCAGCCCATGTGGAGTTGCCAGAGCATCAGTCCTTAACTTTTCCACTGGATGGAGCAGTTCATTGCTCGTGACATATCCAGGCAGCTTCTTTTTCTCTACAGCAGCTTTCAGATTAGGTTTTCACTGCAGGCAGGTATGAAGGGGGCCTTCCAAAGCAGGATCTGCTGTACCCCGTCTGCCCCTCCCATCCTGCTGATCTGCAAAGTCCTGTATTCTCCGCCTCCCTGTTGATGTGCCAGGCTGGGAACAGCGATTAGCACGCCATGTTCCCATTCATTGCTTGGCACAATGCACCCTCTACCGGCTGGAACGTGTGATCCCAATTCATGGCTCATTTCCCCTGGCAGAGAGGCATCACCAGGTATGTAGACACTTTTGTTTTGGAAACCAGGGGTATAGTCAGTCACACATTGTGCTCCTAGCTGTGTTTTCCCTCCAGTAGCTAGGCTCTGGAGCAGGGTTGCTGTGTATAAGCAGTCCAGACCTGCTTGGAGCTGCGCCTGATGTACACGCAAAGTGTTCTTTCTACACAAGTGATTAATTCACCACTTCCTACATCAAGGGGCCTTAAACTTTCCCATAGCGTGGGCCACTCCTTAACAGAGAAACAGTCTCATAATCACCTCCCCTGATGGTGCAGACAAAGCTGCCTCCTGTTCATGATCCCTCAGCAGCCCCATGGTGACCACAACCTCTGCCCACATGAAGAAGGGATACTCGGAAGAGAAGGATTCGTTTTGGCTTGGTGCTAATGTGGTCAATTGGCACTCCTAAAAGCTGCTGGAAGTGAGGTTTGCCAGACCCAGCAAGTACCCCCTGCAGAACCTAAAAAAAGAAATCTTTATCAAGGTCAAATTAGTTCCCAATTCAATTGGGAAAAGCTCAATACTCAGCTTCCAAAATTCAACTGAGCAGAACACAATTGTCAAGTCTGTGGGGCTCTACTCCCTGGGAAGTATCCTCCCACCCAGAGCCATTAGTCTGAGGCATCGGTTACTCCCCTAATCCAGATAGACATCCTATATGCAAGCCTCAGGTCAGGAGGCATTGGGATTCAGATGCCCCATCTCACTTGATCTTATCACTTGATAGCAGTTCCCTGGTGATCTAGTGGTTAGGCTTCATCACTCTCACCATCCCCTGGAGAACTGAAGGGGAAACACCGTCTGAAATGTAACTCAGATGCACCAAATTCACCCTACAGATGGGACTGAATCGGGGGATAGTCACTGTAGGCAATAAATGGCAAGTGCGTGTTCCTCGCAGGCTCCTACTGCATGGAATCGGAGCTGCTCAGCAGCGTGCCCCGGGCCCTCTCCTCACCGGAGCTAATGGGAATCAGAGCAGAACGCCACTGGGGCGCACGGTGCAGATAGCTGTCTGTTCAGAGGCTGCATCTTCCATGGCCTCTTACCTGGATTGCCCTGGGATGCAGGATGCCTATGGGGGTCCAAGGTAGGAGTCAGGTTCCATACTCGGGGCATTTTCTCCCAGCTCAGGTGGTGGCACACAGAGCTCACAACAGTGCATGGCAGCTGCCTCCTGCTAGGGGGAACTGGCTTTTGGAAGACTCCTCCTCAGGTACTTGACTGGGCAGCGCCTGACCAGGTGCAGGCCGCAATTGCACGCTGCACCCAGCAGGTGTCTGGACACCAGCATCCTCCCACCCTATCACTCTGA